ACATGAAGGCAGGGTAAAGTGACTAAAATAAAGAACAGAGTAGCAGCAGCGTAGTGTAAAAGTGTGTGTGTGTATGTGTATTTGTGAATGTGTGTGGGTTTTGCGTGAGAGTGTCAGTGAAGTGCGAGTGTTAATACAGTGTGTATATACTGTATAGTCATGTGAGTGTGCATAGAGTCAGTGCAAGACAGGGTCAATGCAGATGTCCGGGTAACCATTAAATTAACTATTTAGCAGTTTTATGGCTTGGGGATAGAAGCTGTTCTCGGAGCCTGTTGGTCTGAGAGCGGATGCTCATGACGGTAGTAGAGTAAACAGTCTTTGGCAATGTTTCGGGCCTTCCTCTGACCCCGCCTGATATCGAGGGCGGTGCATTTGCCATACCAAGCGTTGATGCAGCCAGTCAAGATGCTCTCAGTGGTGCAGCTGTCAAACTTTTTGAGGATCCGAGGGCCCATGCCAAATCTTTTTATCTTCCTGAGAGGGAAGAGGCGCTGTTGAGCCCTCTTCACAACTGTGCAGTTGTGTGTGGACCCTGTTAAGTCCTTAGTGGACGCTGTGGAACTTGATCCTCTTGACCCGTTCCACTACAGCCCCATCGACATGGGTGGGGGCATGCTCTCCCCTCTTTTTCCTATAGTCCATGATCAGCTCCTTGGCCTTAGTGACGTTGAGGGAGAGAGTGTTGTCGTGGCACCACACTGCTAAGTCTCTGACCGCCAACATATTCCAGTATGTACTAGCAAAGCAGTCTTGTAGCCTCGCTTCATCGGACCACTTACGTATTGAGCGTCAGGGACGGCCTGTTCAATAGGGCGATATGGGCGACGCACTGCCAAACGGGAAAAGGAAGGGATTTTTTTTCTAATCAATTATATCACGGCAACAGTAGTTATCAGTGTTGTAATCTATACGTCTGATCTGCCACAGTGCCACACTGCCACTAAATGTCGAATCAGGCTAAAGTCGTGCTTCAAATGGCTCCACCCCCTTTTGGGGCGATTTCAGTCAGATTGAAAATCGCCCAGAACTTCTGTCATAGACTCCCATGTAAAATCTATTTTTTTCAAATTTCAGAGCCTTCAATACAATCTCAATGGGTGTCTGTGGGCTTGCACTTACGCGCTTTCGTCATACGTTACGTAACCATGAACGTAACTGAGAAAAGAGTGGATTGTTTGAAAGAAATTCCTTTTTGTCGGCGAACAAATGAAGATAAATTGGCAACGAAACAATTAGGACCTCCCAGACCAAATTTAATAATTCAACAGGTTTCTACTAAAGGCGGAAAGTCCTACACCCGAGGATTTTCCAAAAATTGGTACGAACGAAAAAAGACATTGCCACTCACTCAACTGGATGACGAGGGATACAGGCTAGCTGTCCGCCGCCACAACGATGAGGTTAGTGTTGATAATCACAAGTTTACTGGATGTGGATATGGTGTAATAAAGGCAGTTTATTCAGAGGTAAATATATCTGGAATCGCGTTCACGGACCCGTTCGTCAAACTCTTAGGGAGCTATAAATTAAGCCCCATTACTTACCATATCAGATAAGAGAAATTGCTGCAGCTACATATATTTTACATCCTGGCCCTACATAGTTCACTATTTGCATCACTTACCAAAATATTACATGTGGTCATATATGCTTGGAAAGTGGAGATGCCATAGAACGTCAAAAAAGTAAACATTGCTGGAGACACATTGCCGTTTTGGAGAAGACATCGCGTTTGCTAGCGAAGAGATTTGTTGTGGCAAATGAACTTGGGCTGGGAATTGCCAGGAACCTCACGATAAGATATATGCATCAGCATTGCGAGTCTCATGATTCTATACGTATTGCGATTCGATACTGTGATTTTATTGCGCACCATATGTCTGTTGCAGAGGGATCAGAAAGCCATGAGAACGAGTTTTGATCAGTCATGGAAATAAAAGTGCTGAAAACAAATTGGCTCCCAATGTGAAAAGATTGAGAACAAGCTATGAAGGAACAATAATGGTGTTTTGGTGCAGGTACAGCCAACTAGCGCTAAAATATTGCGATATTGTCAATACAGTATATCGTAAAGTATCACTATGTAACTCGATTTCTTTCACCCCAATCCCTCAAATTAACGGTAAATAACTGAATTGTTTGCCCCACATTTAGCTAAGATGATTAGCTAGCCAGCTAAAATGTTTTAGTTAGTTAGCAGTCGCATCTACAATAGTTTACTGTCAATAACATGTCTCCAAAAATGACGTGGTGTCTCCAATTGTGTTGACATTTTACAATTGCAATGCGCATCCATGAGTATCCACTTTCTGTAGCTCAGCTGGTAGAGCATGGTGCTTGTAACGCCAAGGTAGTGGGTTCGATCCCCGGGACCACCCATACACAAAAATGTATGCACGCATGACTGTAAGTCGCTTTGGATAAAAGCGTCTGCTAAATGGCATATTATTATTATTATTATTATTATTATTATTATCTGAAGAGAGCCCCGAAACATTGTGTGCAGACATTTTATGCAATAAATGAAGTAGGTTCAATCTAGTAGTTCTGATCTTCTGATTGGTCCTGATGAGTTGGGCGAGGTCCCCTGCAGGCTACTGTCACTGTTGCATTGGCTCTGAGTCGGGTTCTCTGTCTTCAAATGTTCAGCCTAAGAGAGGGGATTTTTGTGTGTGTGTGTGTGTGTTTAACAGTGATGATGTGTGTGTGTGTGTGTGTGTTTAACAGTGATGATGTGTGTGTGTGTGTGTTTGTGTGTGTGTGTGTCCTCAGAGCAAGAACTCGTGAGTTGGAAGAACTGAGAGGCCTATGGCGTGGGTGTTGTCCTTGGCCACCTGCTGACAAGGCTGACAAGATAGGACCCTTTTGTCCATTGTTATTGGATAGGAACAGAACTTATAACCAGCTCCTGACCTAAATAGATCTTAGCACAACATTTTACTCAACATATCATATTCCATATTCACTATAACAAATATATTTACTACGACATTAGCAAGAACCGCCACATCCTCAGCCGGCTAATCCAGTGTGTGAAGTTTTGCGGAGTGTTTGAGTTAGCTTTGCGAGGCAAAGATGAAACTGAGGGCTCCACCAACCCTGGTAAGCCAACACTTTTGAGATCAGTCAATAAATGCTTCTGGTATTGACTTATATGCTGCCCCTGTCTTCATGTTGTTGCTGGACATATCTTTTTTTAAATGTGTGTAGGTCACCTAAATCATCAGAAAAATTGCCCCTCCTGAGAATTTTTTCAGGAGCCGCCACTGTTGAGCGTGTCATTGGTACTTCCTGTTTGAGCTTTTGTTTGTAAACAGGAAGCAGGAGAATAGAGTCTTGGTAAGATTTGCCGAAGGGAGGACAAGGGAGGGCCTTGTATGAATTTATGTGGCTAGAATAAAAGTGGTCTAGAGTTCTTAGCGCCACTAGTGGTATAGGAGACGTGTTGGTAGAAGTGAGGTAGAACAGTTTTTAGTCTCCCCGCGTTAAAGTCTCCACCCACCAGAAACGCTGCCTCTGGGTGAACGGTTTCTTGTTTGTTTATGGCCCCATACAGTTCATTGAGTGCCAAAGTGCTGTTGGCTTGTGGAGGGATGTAGACAGCTGTGAAAATTACGGATTAGAACTCTCTTGGTAGATAAAAGGGTCTGCAGCTTACCATGAGGTATTCTATATCAGGTGAGCAAAAGCTTGAGATGTACTTCACACTGGAAGCAGCGCACCAGTTGTTGTTTATGAAGAGTCACACCCCTCCCCCTTTGGACTTGCCCGAGGCCACCTTCGCCTGATCGTGCCGCTGCATGGAGAAACCACTGAGTTCTATGTACATAAAGTCATCCAGCCACGTCTCTGCAAGGCATATAATATTGCAACTTTTCAAGTCTCTCTGATAGGAGACTCTCGAACGAAGCTCATCTATCTTATTCTCGAGTGACTGGACATTTGCCTATAGAATGGAGGGTAGTGCCGGTCGGTTTTCTCTTTGTCTCAATCTCACCGGGATGCCGGCATATCTATAAAAAAAAGACAGTTCACAAGCTGTATACCGCTTTTGCTTCATGTAACCAGCACTGATGTATTAGACTCAGATATGAAACTCAATAAAAAGTGTACAACCAACAGAAATACTGCACATTGTGACACCTGTAGGAAGCATTGATCAAATACATCAGTTCTCTTTCTACTGCATCGGAATTGACACTTTCATGGCTACCCTTCAAGGCGCTGCCTGAGGGAGATTGAATATAAATGCGGTTCTTTGACTGGGCTAGTTTTTGTGCTGCTATTCAATTACCGGTCTTTAGCGATCGCCTCGCCACCGTGGCATGAGTTTACCCCCGGGTCCAGGAACGCAATGAATGGAAAGGATATGAGTGGGAGAGAGATAACGTGCGAACCACAAAGTCCCTCACCCATAAAGGACACACAGTATATGGAACACGCACGCAGACACACACACACACACACACACACACACACACACACACAAACACACACACACACACACACACACACACACACACACACACAGCAGGTCCCTTAACTATGAAAAGCTTGGGATGCTTTGTTCTTTAGAAAAAATCATTATCTTCAAAAGCCAACCAAATTAAACGTTAAACTAAACTCATCTGGCTTTTGATTTCAGCGACTGCAAAGGCTATATAAAATGCCTTTTTATCAAGACCTGACAGGCACAGCGGGGAGTGATAGAATTCATTGTTAATATGGATAGAGGAAAAGATTCCCCTGACCACACATACCCAGCACACACACACACACACACACACACACACACACACACACACACACAAGGCCCGGGGTGAAAGGTAGCTCATGCTCACTGGGCTTAATCCAGAAATGGAAGGTGAATCATACACAGTACAGCTCTGGAATACCAAATGCACCATGTGTCTCAGTCTACCAGTAAGCTGCAGTAGGAAAACGTGTGATTAGGACCCTATTCCATGGCTCTGTGAATCAGTAACACCCCAATCCAATCAACCCTGGCCTGAAGCAGGGATATAATTTTCTGAGAGGATGAATGTGTTAGGAGATTGTATGCTAAGATAAGCTAAATGTGTTATAGTGGGTAAGGGCAGTGTTTGAGTTGAGTTTATAGGGTTGACGTTGGCTTGTTTGGAGGACATTATGCATGTATGGGTCTATAAGGGGAGACAGTATGTTGAGCCAAATGAGTTCAGCTCACCAGTGGTACTGACTGAATGAGAGTACTGGAGCCGTAGTGGGACTGACTGAATGACAATACTAGACCCATAGTGGGACTGACTGAATGAGAGTACTGGAGCCGTAGTGGGACTGACTGAATGACAATACTAGACCCATAGTGGGACTGACTGAATGACAATACTAGACCCATAGTGGGACTGACTGAATGACAATACTAGACCCATAGTGGGACTGACTGAATGAGAATATTGGAGCCATAGTGGGACTGACTGAATGACAATACTAGACCCATAGTGGGACTGACTGAATGAGAGTATTGGAGCTATGGTGGGACTGACTGAATGAGAATACTGATAGAGATACAATACAAGTTAACAAAATAGGGTTTTATTTAATTCTGTGACTGGAGCACCTGTAGAGTTGTGTCGGTGTGGACACTGAGGGGACTCACCCTGTTCTGGGTCGTACTCCTCCACCGTGCTGACGAAGTGGGGTCTGGAGTAGAAGTTATGGGGGCAGGGCTGCTGGAGCCCCCCCAGACTGAAGAAGCCCTGCTCGGTGGCAGCACAGCAGGCGAAGGCTCGGCGGCTGGGGATACAGGGGTAACGCGTCCAATTCTTCATTTCCAGGTCAAAGGCCTCGAAGGCTGTGACAGGAAGCTTTCCCTGACGCCCACCTGCCAGGGATGAGAGGAGGAAGGAATGGAGGGAAAGAGGGTCAGAGGGAGTGGGCAGCAGGGCATGAGAGAGAGGGGATGACAGAGAGGGAGAGAGAGAGAGGAGGAGACAATGAGAAGGACAGAGAGAGAGAGAGAGAGATGAGAGGAGAGGAGAGAAGAGAGATAGAGAGAGAGAAGTTTATAGAAGAGAAGAGAGGATAGAGAAGAGGAGAGAGAGATAGTTTAGACATAGAGAGCTCTTATAATTTGAATAGTATCCTAGATGAGAGAGAGATTATAAGAGAGAGAGATCTAGAAGAGAGCGATATTTCCTATAGAGATGAGAGGCGAGAGATAGAGATGGATGAGATAGAGCAGATAGAGAGAGGGAGAAACAGTTATTAAAAAAGGACTAACTGTTGGCACTCTAAAAATTAGGGGTTCAACAAGTGTTCTTCTAAGATCCACAAAGTTCTTCGAAGAACCTTAGGGTTCTTGGCACTGAAAATGGCCCCCAAAAGGTTCTTCCAAGAACCCCATAGGAGGTGGGGTTCATCGAGGAACCTCCTTAGTTGGTGGGGGTTCTTGCAGGAACCTAACTGCCCAACTGAAACATTTGGATTTGAATTTGAAAGGACAGCAGGTGCAGGCACTTAACTGAAAAATATAAAGATCCCCTCAATTTAAGGTAAGGTTTGTCCCTTGTAAGATCTAAATTGATATTGTTTTATGATGATACCATCTATCTATTCATATTTGTGCCAATCTTTCTAAAAACAGAAAATGGACACAATTCAATGGATATGAAATCAACAAAGAGGTAAGAATATGTAGGCTATAAGAATATGTTGAAGGCTAGCTGTATTGCGTGCAGATGGCTGAACTGCTCACTTTTGTGTCTGTAGGTATACGAGCAGGCATACAAAGGTATGTCAATTGGTATTGGTATGTTATGCAGATCACATTTACCATCCTCCTCCCTTACCTCTTCAATGAATATCCCATAGGCCTCTACATTATGGACAAGGTACACTACCAGTCAAAAGTTTTAGAACACCTACTCATTCAAGGGTTTTTCTTTGATAAAAAAAAAATTACATCGTAGAATAATAGTGAAGACATCAAAATAATGAAATAACACATATGGAATCATATAGTAACCAAGAAAGTGTTAAACAAATCAAAATATATTTTATATTTGAGATTCTTCAAATAGCCACCCTTTGCCTTGATGACAGCGTTGCACACCCTTGGCATTCTCTCATCCAGCTTCACGAGGTAGTCACCTGGAATGCATTTCAATTAACAGGTGTGCCTTCTTAAAAGTTAATTTGTGGAATTTATTTCCTTCTTAATGTGTTTGAGCCAATCAGTTGTGTTGTGACAAGGTAGGGGGGTATACGGAGGATAGCCCTACTTGGTAAAAGACTAAGTCCATATTATGGCAAGAACAGCTCAAATAAGCAAAGAGAAATGACAGTCCATCATTACATTAAGACATGAAGGTCAGTCAATACGGAACATTTCAAGAACTTTGACAGTTTCTTCAAGTGCAGTCGCAAAAACCATCAAGCGCTATGATGAAACTGGCTCTCATGAGGACCGCCACAGGAATGGAAGACCCAGAGTTACCTCTGCTGCAGAGGATAAGTTCATTAGAGTTACCAGCCTCAGAAATTGCAGCCCAAATAGATGCTTCACAGAGTTCAAATAACAGATACATCTCAACATCAGCTGTTCAGAAGAGACTGTGTGAATCAGGCCTTCATGGACTAATTACTGCAAAGAAACCAGTACTAAAGGACACCAATAAGAAGAGGAGACTTGCTTGGGCCAAGAAACACGAACTATGGACATTAGACCAGTGGAAATTTGTCCTTTGGTCTTGAGTCCAAATTTGAGATTTTTGGTTCCAGCCCTGTCTTTGTGAGAAGTGGTGTGGGTGAACGGATGATCTCTGCATTTTGAATTTCCCACTGTAAAGCATGGAGGAGGAGGTGTTATGGTGTGGGGGTGCTTTGCTGGTGACACTGTCTGTGATTTATTTAGAATTCAAGGCACACTTAACCAGCATGGCTACCACAGCATTCTGCAGCAATACAACATCCCATCTGGTTTGGGCTTAGAGGGACTATCATTTGTTTTTCAACAGGTCAATGACCCAACACACCTCCAGGCTGTGTAAGGGCTATTTGACCAAGAAGGAGCGTGATGGAGTGCTGCATCAGATGACCTGGCCTCCACAATCCCCCGACCTCCACCCAATTGAGATGGTTTGGGATGAGTCGGACCGCAGAGTGAAGGAAAAGCAGCCAACAAGTGCTCAGCATATGTGGGAACTCCTTCAAGACTGTTGGAAAAGCATTCCAGGTGAAGCTGGTTGAGAGAATGCCAAGAGTGTGCAAAGCTGTCATCAAGGCAAAGGGTGGCTATTTGAAGAATCTCAAATATAAAATATATTTAGAATTGTTAAACAATTTTTTGGTGTCTACATGATTCCATATGTGTTATTTCATAGTTTTGATGTCTTCATTATTATCCTACAATGTAGAAAATAGTAAATATAAAGACTGGTACTGTATGTGTATGAAAACCATTATCATACGTTTTTTTCATTCACATTCACCACAAAAACCAATGTATGAATACTGTCATGTGCATTTTTTGTTAATGATCTGTATAATTAATTTTTTTTTGATTCACAGACTTCACCCTCCCTACACCTCTGATGAATATAACCGGAAACCTGTTCGATCACCATGCACTGCAAAATCATTCTGGGTATCAAAAACAGAGAACTTCAACACATTAACATCAACACGCCAGATATACCCATTGGACTTGGGGCTCTGCTGGGGAGTTTACCTCATATTTAGATTTTATTATTCTGCTTTGCCACTAAAATCATAATAAACACTGAGAACTAAAATATTGTGTTATGATTATGCGTATTATTATTATTAATAATAATGTGTGTGTGGGGGGGGGGGGGGGGGGGGTAGTTCAAAAGGATATTATGAGGATCCATTAAAACGGGTTCTTTGAAGAATATAGGGGTTCCCCTTCAATTTCAAATTTGAAAAAACCCTAAAGGATACTCCAGGAACCTTGTCTTTTTGGAGTGTACTAAAATGGATGGTTTGAAATGGTGTCCCTTTATTAGCGATGCTGATTCCATATCTGTTAGGAGCAGCCAAATATCCTCAGGTGTGTTCTCAAATATAAACTTGGCACATGGCCCAATGAACATGCAGTACGCCCAGCGATAAATATTTGTGTATTCTGTTTCGTTCCATTGGTCTCACCTCTCTGATCCTCCCTCTCTCCCTCTGTGACAGCCCCAGGCTTTCTCTCCATGTTCACACTCCTGGCTCATCCCTACTCACCAAACATGACAGCTACCCAGAAAGAGAGAGAGAGAGTGTGTGTGTGTGTGTGTGCGTGCGTGCGTGCGTGTGTGTGTGTGTGTGCGCGCCCACATGCACGTGCATCCTTGCGTGTGAGTGTGTGTGTGTACTGTTGAGTATTACACTTGGAGCCTGGCTGGCAGTGTGTATAGTAAAGATTATACAGCCTGTCTCTGCTGTTGGACCTGCAGGCAGTGAAAAAGGTGTGGTTCCTGCTGAAGCTGGAATTAAGTTTCTATCCATGTTTGAGTAGACAGTGTCTGTGGTGCAGCATGTCAGTGTCAGGTGTTTGATCAGCCTGGACACACTGACAGTGATCACACACTGTCTGTGTGACACAAAGCCTGGCGTACTTCAGGTAATATTCCTCAGGTTTTGTCCAAAGAAGACAAATCAAATGGAGTGAACAGAAACGTGCTAGTCCAAGAAGCCAAGCCAAGTGTTTGTGCCTGGTCACTGATACATAATACAGAGTACGTGGACATTTGATCAGTACTACTGCTTAAAAAAAAAAAAAAAAAAAAACATTTACATTTTAGTCATTTAGCAGACGCTCTTATCCAGAGCGACTTACAGTTAGTGAGTGCATACATTATTATTATTTTTTGTTGTTTTTTCATACTGGCCCCCCATGGGAATCGAACCCACAACCCTGGCATTGCAAACACCATGCTCTACCAACTGAGCTACATCCCTGCCGGCCATTCCCTCCCCTACCCTGGACGAATTGTGCGCCGCCCCATGGGTCTCCCGGTCGCGGCCGGCTACGACAGAGCCTGGATTCGAACCAGGATCTCTAGTGCCACAGCCCTAGACCACTGCGCCACTCGGCGCCCGCCACTTCATCTGCTGTCCTGTGTATCCATTTCATCCGTTTACAGTAATTTTTACAGTATAGTTTACAGTATGTATTGTACTATACTGTAAAGCAGTGGTTCCCAACCTTTTTTTGTTTACTGTACCACCAACTGAATGTTTCTCTGCCCCGAGTACCCCTGAAGTACCCCATTATGTACATTTTACCAGTAGGCCTATGGTCTCATGAGTCTTCTCAAGTACCCCCTGTGGATAGGCCAAGTACCCCCTGGGTCCTAGTACCCCTGGTTGGGAACCACTGCTGTAATGTAAAGGAGTGTGTGACTGTTACATTGTATTTATTAGTGCATGAGGCTAACGAGCAGCCTCCCCTGTCCTAATCAGGAAGCTGAAGCCTGGCCAGCTGAGGCAGCCTGCCAGTCAGAGTCTGGGAAAGGTTCAGGGGCGGATTGGAACCAGAAATCGGGCCCTGGTATTTCTACCACATGGCCCATTTTTTTTTCTTGAGGCCCCACACAAGTAACACAGGCCCCACTGGGCTAAAAAAATGGCAGATGGCCAGTCTGCCCCTGGAAAGGCTCTGTGGAAAATGTCACATTTACTTTATTTCTTCAATTCAGATCCCTGGCTGTAACACTGCTGTCCAAAAGTATGGGTCTGCTCTGCATTCACTAAGCCTCTGACCCTCAGCCAGCCAGCACTGTCTGGCAGCCCTGTGGTCCTCCATCAGTAGACAGAGAGAGAGAGAGAGGGAATAAAAAACCAAATAAAAGAGAATAATGGCTACACAGGCGACACACTGTAGCAAGCAGCTGATGTACCAGCCAGGACACTCAAGATTCACTTCGAAATTGGACGTCTTCAAAACCCACCACTAGGGGCAACGGTGAGCACTATTACCAGCGAGTAGGCTTAGGTTTTGCTAGGACGTTGTTGACGGGGATGGCTTGTTTTTTTTTTTTTTTACATGTCCCAAACCTTAACCCTTAACGTAACCATTCGGAATGAATGCGTAAACTTAATTTAACCCTATCCCAAACCTTAACCCTTAACTTAAACATTTGGAAGGAATGCTTACATTTAAGCAGCCACGAGGTGCCTTGCCAGGAGGCTTAAACGATCCACTGCGGCAACCAATGGTGTCAAAAACAACTTCATAATTTGACATTTGGAACTTGTTGGATGTACAAGATGTTCTCAGAGAGAGAGATAGTTTATGGAGGGAGGCTCCTAAAAGCATCTCACAGTCGAGATAGTCAGTATTCACACACACATGCACGGACGCACACACACACACACACACAGGCGGCCTTGCAGAGACAGTGACAGAGTCGTGTTTGGCCATGGCACTCAGACAGCTTTGATGACAGACGGCCATTTTGAACTAATCCTTATGCATACTTGGCTGTGTGAGGAACTAACAGTCCGACAGGCTGAAATACAGTCCCATCGACACGCAATATCAAATCAAATCAAATTGTATTAGTCACATGCGTCGAATACAACAGGTGTAGACTTTACCGTGAAATGCTTACTTATGAGCCCTTTCCCAACCATGCAGTTAAAAAGTAAGATACATTTTCAAAAAATTAAAAAAGGAAATAGTAACACAATAACAAGACTATATACAAGGAGTACCGGTACCGAGTCAATGTGCAGGGGTACAAGGTAGTTGAGGTAATACTGTACGTACATGTAGGTAGAGGTAAAAGTGACTAGGCAATCAGGACAGATAATAAACAGCAGCAGCAGATGTGAAGAGTATGAAGGTGTGTCTATGTGTGAGTTTGTGTGTGTGTGGCATCAATATGCATGTGTGTGTGTTTGTGTGTGTGTGTGTGTGTGTGTGTTGGAGTGTCAGTGTAGTATGTGTGAGTGTGTTAGTAGAGTCCAGTGAGTGTGCATAGAGCCGGTGCAAGAGAGTCATTACAAATAAAAAAGGGGGTTCGCCATTTGATTAATTGTTCAGCAGTCTTCTGGCTTGGGGGTAGAAGCTGTTAAGGAGCCTTTTGGTCCCAGACTTGGCGCTCCGGTACCGCTTGCCGTGCGGTAGCAGAGAGAACAGTCTATGACTTGGGTGGCTGGAGTCTTTGATAATTTTTGTCTTTGACACCGCCTGGTATAGAGGTCCTGGATGACAGCCAGTCAAGATGCTCTTAATGGTGCTGCTATATAACTTTTTGAGGATCTGAGGGCCCATGCCAAATCTTTTCAGCCTTCTGAGGGGGAAAGAGACATTGTCGTATCCTCTTCACGACTGTGTTGGTGTGTTTGGACCATGATAGGTCCTTAGTGATGTGGACACCGAGGAACTTGAAGCTCTCGACCCGCTCCACTACAGCCCCGTCGATGTGAATGGGGGTGTGCTCGGCCCTCCGTTTCCTGTAGTCCACGATCAGCTCCTTTGTCTTGCTGACGTTGAGGGAGAGGTTGTTGTCCTGGCACCACAATGCCAGGTCTCTGACCTCCTCCCTATAGGCTGTCTCATCGTTGTCGATGATCAGGCCTACCACCGTCCTGTTGTCATCAAACTTAATGATGGTGGTGGAGTCGTGCGCAGCCACGCAGTCGTGGGTGAACAGTACAGGAGGGGACTAAGCATGCAGCCCTGAGGGGCCCCTGTGTTGAGGGTCAGCGTGGTGGATGTGTTGTTGCCTACCCTCACTACCTGGGGACGGCCCGTCAGGAGGGAGCTGTTCAGTCTCAAGGTTCTTAGCTTATTGATGAGCTTGGAGGGCACTGCAGTGTTGAACGCTGAGCTGTAGTCAATGAATAGCATTTTCATGTGGGTGTTCCTTTTGCCCAGGTGGGAAAGGGCAGTGTGGAATGCAATAGCAATTGCGTCACTGTGGATCTGTTGGGGCGGTATGCGAATTGGAGTGGGTCCAGGTTGTCAGGGATGATGGTGTTGATGTGAGCCATGACCAGCCTTTCAAAGCATTTCATGGCTACAGATGAGAGTGCTACGGGTCGGTAGTCATTTAGGCAGGTTACCTTAGTGTTCTTGGGCACAGGGACTATGGTGGTCTGCTTGAAACATGAAGGTATTACAGACTGGGTCAGGAAGAGGTTGAAAATGTCAGTGAAGACACTTGCCAGCTGGTCAGACCATGCTCTGAGTATGTGTCCTGGTAGTCTGTCTGGCCTTGTGAATGTTCATCTGTTTAAAGGTCTTACCTTTAAATCTACGCAGAGCGTGACCACACAGTCGTCCAGGACAGCTGGTGCCAGAACAGCATAGAAGGAATTTAGCTCATCTGGTAGGCTCGCGTCACTGGGCAGCTCACAGCTGGGTTTCCCTTTGTAATCCGTGATAGTTTGTAAGCCCTGCCACATCCGACGAGATATAGAGCCGGTGTAGTAATATTCGATCTTAGTCCTGTACTGACACATTGCCCGTTTGATGGTTCGTCGGAGGGCGTAGTGGAATTTCTTATAAGCGTCCGGATTAGTGTCCCACTCCTTGAAAGCAGTAGCTCCAGCCTTTAGCTCAGTGCAGATGTTGCCTGTAATCCATGGCTTCTGGTTGGGATATATACGTACGGTCACTGTTGGTCGACGTTGTCGATGCACTTATTAATGAAGCCGGTGACTGATGTGGTAAACTCCTCGATGCCATCGGATGAATCCCGGAACATATTCCAGTCTGTGCTTGCGAAACAGTCCTGTAGCTTAGCATCCGCTTCATCGGACCACTTCCGTATTGAGCGTTTCATTAGTACTTCCTGTTTGAGTTTTTGTTTGTAAGCAGGAATCAGGCGGATAGAGTTATGGTCAGATTTTCCAAATGGAGGGTGAGGGAGAGCTTTGTATGTGTGTGGAGAAAAGGTGATCTAGATCTCTTTCACCTCTAGTTGCACATGTGACATGCTGGTAGAAATTAGGTAAAATGGATTTCCGTTCTCTTGCGTTAAAATCATCGGCCACTAGGAGCGCCACCTCTGGGTGAGCATTTTCTTGTTTGTTTATGGCCCTATACAGTTTGTTGAGTGCGGTCTTAGTGCCAGCATCGGTTTGTGGTGGTAAGTAGATGTAAGTTATCTTGGTAAATAGTATGGTCTGCAGCTTATCATGAGGTATTCTAACTCAGGCGAGCAGAACCTTGAGACTTCCTTAATATTACAGATCGCGTAACAGCTATTGTTAACAAAGAGAAACAAACCACCCCCCCCCCCCCCCCCCGAGTTTGCCCGACGCTGCCGTTCTGTCTTGCCGATGCATAGAAAAAGCAGCTAGATAGCCTCCCGAGTGGCGCAGCGGTCTAAGGCACTGCATCGCAGTGCTTGAAGCGTCATTACAGACCCGGGTTTGATCCCAGGTTGTGACACAACTGGCTGTGACCGGGAGTCCCATAGAGCGGCGCGCAATAGGCCCAGCATCGTCCGGGTTAGGGGAGGGTTTGCGGCTGGCTTCCGGGTTAAGCAGACGGGAGTTAAAAAGTGCGGATTGGCGGGTCATGTTTCGGAGGTCGCATGACTCGACCTCCCCGTTGGGGAGTTGCAGCGATGAGACAAGATCGTAATTGGATCGCCATTTGATATCACACACACAAAGCTAGATTTATATTGTCCTTGTTCAGCCACGACTCGGAGAAACACAGGATATTACAGTTCTTCAGATCACGTTGATAGTATAGTCTCGGACAGAGCTCGTCCAGTTTATTCTCCAGTGATTGCACGTTGGCCAATAGAACGGAGGGTAGAGGCGGTTTATCCACTCGCCTCGTCAGTAGTGCTAGGAGATTAGTGCTTTTTGAAATCGGTTAATAAAAGTCCCATGATGGTAGTGACTTACCATTACTGCTTATCACTTATTAACCATCATTTATTCACATTACTTTAATATAATATTTCAGTTGTTGTGTATATTACATTTGTTTTATTTGATGACTTTATTATTTCATTCCAAGTCATCATCTCATCTCTATAGAGCTGCTACATATGCTGTCTGACTAAATTACTATTTTAGTAGTTCTTCAAAGTAAATAAGGCATACTATTATGACTGCTGAATACCAACTATCAATCACTTTGATCATGTATTTTCTGGTAGAGAAACCTCGCGAAGCCACAGCTGCTCTCTATATCCCCTTACGATCAAGCATTTTTGCCTCTTCCGTTGCAGGAGTAAAAGAAACACAGACCGTATAAGTATATGCGCAATGGATTATGGTCATTGTAGTTAATTACCACGTTTTACGTGCTAAACTATGTAGAATTTTGGCCTGTTGGAAACTACAACTCCCTATTACATCGCACAGTTCAGGCTGGATCTGATTGATCTCTAGAGAAACTGTGCAATGTGCGCATTCTCACATAAAATAAAAAAAATAAAAATGGAATTCAAATAATTTAACCGACGTCTGTCAATTAGTTGTTTAAATACCCCAAAATAAGAAAAATGTTGGTTAATCGCTCAGCACTACTCGTCAGGTATCCCGGACGCCGGCCTCTATAACGCAGCCTCTTCCTTCTTCGAGTGTCGGGGATGCTATTCCCTCCGGCCGCATTTCAGAAGAAAAATTAAATCTGAAGATGTCTATATCGGTGCGCTAATACAGGACTAGTAAAGGCCCAGTGCACTACTTTTCTGAAAACATTTTAACTAAATGTATTTGAGTGTTTACCAGCATTTGTAACTTGAGTCTCATAATTATCGCTACAAAACAATTAATCTGATGATACTTGTGGAATATAAAAATACTTGCTTGATACACGTTTTCCAGTTTCTTGAAATACTTTGCAAATGCAACTTATTTCTATGTGAAAACTGAAGTGGTCTGTCTTTTAATTCCTTTTAGTAGACGCTCTCATCCAGAGCAATTTACAGTAGCGAGTGCATACATTTTCATACTTGTCCCCAGTGGGAATCGAACCCACAACCCTAGCATTGCAAGCACCATGCTCTACCAACTGAGCCACATCATCACAAACCACTTGATGTCTCAATGTACTCAATTACTGTTTAGTGCATTGTTTTTTCTTCATGGTGATGGAAAGTCTACAGGTACAAACCTAGATGACCAGCCTATGTACAATACAGTAATGTACATTTACATTAAGTGGTTAGTAAGGATGGTAAATTAATATTGCACAAAAAGTGGATGTTTTGTGTCTTTGCCCATAACTTTGCACTTTTGATATAAATGTTTGAGGACAGGGATTTGTTCTTTCTGGTTTCCATTAGAATGACAATCGCAGAGAAAGGGACTGGGCAACAACTCCAACTATTGAATCCTGCAAGATACTGTTCTTAGTTACATTTTAGTCATTTAGCAGACGCTCTTATCCAGAGCGACTTACAGTTTAGTCACATTATTATTATACTTTTTTTATTTTTTATTTTTTTTTATACCCCCTGTGGGAATCGAACCCACAACCCTGGCGTTGCAAACGCCATGCTCTATCAACTGAGCTACATCCCTGCCGGCCATTCCCTCCCCTACCCTGGACGACGCTGGGCCAATTGCACGCCGCCACATGGGTCTCCCGGTCGCAGCCGGCTACGACAGAGCCTGGATTCGAACCAGGATCTCTAGTGGCACAGCTAGCACTGCGATGCAGTGCCTTAGACCACTGCGCCACTCAGGTTATACAACTACCTTTTTTTGCCAAAGCAGAGATGCTGAAAAATGTTTTTGGCAGCGCTCCAAACGTCTATATCGGTTTGCTAATGCTAGTAAAGGCCCAGTGCACTACTTTTTCTAAACAGAAATAATTTTTTATTCATATATTTTTTTAATTCAGATTTTATGTGATTCCGTAGAATAAGCCTGCTTGCTAGCAAGCCATTTGTCTATGTGACTGAAGACCAGCAGGCAGCCAGACAGGCGGGCAGCCAGACAGGCGGGCAGCCAGACAGGCGGGCAGCCAGACAGGCAGGCAGCCAGACAGCCAGTAACACAGTAACACCAGATAGATGTAGCAGCCATGGAGAGGAGTATGAGGTTATACTGTCCTGCTGGGGATGGACATCACTCATGAATATTCATAAGAACAACTTTTTAAATATGTTTTTCTCCTACACAGTCATATATTTAGATATATGTCTCCGCTCCTATACTTTAAAAAGTATTCTAACACTAGGACTATCTAGGAAGATTCCAAAATCATTCCCTAATGTGCAGTAAAGGCTATTGGCCACAGCTGCAGTGCAGGTACCAGTGAATGAATGTAATTTCTATATTTAATTTAACTAGGCAAGTCGGTTAAGAACAAATTCTTATTTACAATGACAGCCTACACCGGCCAAACTCGGACAATTGTGCGCTGCCCTATGGGACTCCCAATCACGGCCGGTTGTGTGATACAGCCTGGAATCGAACCAGGGGGTCTGTAGTGACGCCTCAAGCACTGAGATGCAGTGCCTTAGACTGCTGCACCACTCGGGAGCCCAATGATTGCCCATGAGTTTCATCTGTTCTCATGACTTATTAATAATCAGATTGATCATGTTTTCTCGGGGACTCAGAGAACAGATCTACAGAATCTCCCTCCATCTTTCCCTCACTTTCTCTCAGATTGAATAAAGACACAGACCGTTGTGTAGACCATGAGAGGGAAATGGGCCCGACCCTCCCCAGACCGTTGTGTAGACCATGAGAGGGAAATGGGCCCGACCCTCCCCAGACCGTTGTGTAGACCATGAGAGGGAAATGGGCCCGACCCTCCCCAGACCTCTTAGCTAGAGAGTGTGTGTGTGTGAGTGTGTGTACGTGTGTGTTCGTGTACATGTACTGTACGTACGACCATATTTGAATGTGTGTGTGGTACGACAGAGTGTACGTGTGGATCGTATGGCTGTAGGCCAGATATGACCAGAGTGACACACAGTGGGGAGATTGGACAGAAGGGGCAGGGATGGGGGTGTGGGGGGGATGGGGGTGTGACCTACCCAGCACGTAAATCTTGTTGCCTCTCAGGAAGGAGGCGGCACCGTAGCGAGGCGTGGGCATGGAGGTCAGGGCCTGCCATTGGTCCTTCTCAGGCTCATAGACCCTTACCAGCGCCTGGGGCGTCGTGTCAGCTGCCATCCCTCCCAGCGCATACACCTTCCCATCTGACAGAGAGGGGAGAGGGAGGGGAGAGGGAGAACGAGAGGGAGAGGGAGAGGGAGAGGGAGAGGGAGAGGGAGAGGGAGAGGGAGAGGGAGAGGGAGGGGAGAGGGAGAGGGAGAGGGAGAGGGAGAGGGAGAGGGAGAGAGGGAGAGGGGAGAGGAAGAAAGGTATAGGAGAGAGAGAGGGAGATGGAGAGGGAGGGGGAGAGAGAGAGAGACAGAGAGAGAGGGCGTAATTTAATCAGCTCCCAATTCCACTATCCAAAGTGTTGAGAGAATAAAAGCAAACAACCACATGTCAGCCTTAATGCCACATCCTGTCAGACGTCAGCCTTAATGCCACATCCTGTCAGACGTCAGCCTTAATGCCACATCCTGTCAGACGTCAGCCTTAATGCCACATCCTGTCAGACGTCAGCCTTAATGCCACATCCTGTCAGACGTCAGCCTTAATGCCACATCCTGTCAGACGTCAGCCTTAATGCCACATCCTGTCAGACATCAGCCTTAATGCCACATCCTGTCAGACGTCAGCCTTAATACCACATCCTGTCAGACGTCAGCCTTAATACCACATCCTGTCAGACGTCAGCCTTAATGCCACATCCTGTCAGACGTCAGCCTTAATACCACACCCTGTCAGACGTCAGCCTTAATGCCACATCCTGTCAGACGTCAGCCTTAATGCCACATCCTGTCAGACACACGGTGACACTCACTGCAGAGTGTCTGGAAATAAATGGATGTGGGTATATTTATTATTATAAACTGGGTGGTTCGAGCCCTGAATGCTGATTGGCTTTAAGCCGTGGCATATGCCACAGGTATGACAAAACATGTATTTTTACTGCTCTAATTACATTGGTAACCAGTGTATAATAGCAATAAGGCACCTCGGGGGTTTGTGGTATATGGCCAATATACCATGGCTAAGGGCTGTATCCAGGGACTCTGCATTGCATCGTGCTTAAGAACAGCCCTTAGCCGTGGTATATTGGCCATATACCACACACCCCCTCGGGACTTGTTGATTCAATATATGGATGGTTGGGAAGATTGATGGATGGGTGGGTATATTTATGAATATATGGATGGTTGGGTGGATTGCTGGAAGGCAGAGTAGATAGAATGAGGGAGGGGTTGGAAAGGTCAAGGGGAAAGGTCAAGGGGATAGAGGAGAGGAGGACTAAAGCACTCAGAGTTGTGACTACAGCATTGCAGTAATCCAGAGAAGTAGGAAAACTAACTGTAAGACTTTCAGACAGAGAGCTAATGCTCTGAATGCAAAAAAACAGCTCCTACTGTTTTTCCCATCACGTAGCAGCTGAACAAGTATAAACCCCCGTGTCCCTGTCGCCTGCTGCACAGCTGCTGACCGAGGTCCCGCTCCTGCTCACTGCCCAGAACATGACTCAGCACCAACACACAAACAAATGAGGGAGAGCAGACAGAGAGAGAGGCGAATGAAGCAGGATGAGACAGAGAGAAAACAGAGTGGTAAAGCAAACTAGAAAAGAGAGAGACGTGGAGGAGGGAGTAAGGCCATGCAGAGAGATGACAAAGAAAGAGTACTGAGGAAGTGTTTCCTAATACATCCCTCCTTGCTTGCTTATTAAGCCCATTACTGATTTGACATTGACAGTACTGGATTACCAAAACCATTGGATCATCAATCACCTTGAAAAAAGACAGCTCATAGACACTGTACAGCTGCCTCCTTTTCCAGCTCTCACACACTTGTCTTGATATCACTTTCACCTCATCTCCTTCTATCCATGTACACTCTTACCTCCTCTCTGCTCCTCTCACCCCTCTATCCTCCGCTCACCCCCACTCTGCTCCTCTCGCCCCCGCTCTGTTTCCTCTCACCTCTCTCACCCCTCTCTGCTCCTCTCTGCTCCTCTCGGCCCCTCTCTGTTCCTCTCACCTCCTCTCACCCCTCTCTGCTCCTCTCACCCCTCTCTGCTCCTCTCATCTCATCTCTGCTCTTCTCTGCTCCTCTTACCCCTCTCTGCTCCTCTCATCTCCTCTCTGCTCCTCTCACCCCTCTCTGCTCCTCTCATCTCCTCTCTGCTCCTCTCAGCTCCTCTCTGCTCCTCTCAGCTCCTCTCATCTCCTCTCTGCTCCTCTCTGCTCTTCTCATCTCCTCTATGCTCCTCTCACCCCTCTCTGCTCCTCTCATCTCCTCTCTGCTCCTCTCATCTCCTCTGCTGCTCTTCTCTGCTCCTTTTACCCCTCTGCTCCTCTCATCTCCTCTCTGCTCCTCTCACCCCTCTCTGCTCCTCTCATCTCCTCCTCTCATCTCCTATCTGCTCCTCTCTGCTCCTCTCTGCTCCTCTCACCCCTCTCTGCTCCTCTCAGCTCCTCTCATCTCATCTCTGCTCCTCTCACCCCTCTCTGCTCCTCTCATCTCCTCTCTGCTCTTCTCTGCTCCTCTTACCCCTCTCTGCTCCTCTCATCTCCTCTCACCCCTCTCTGCTCCTCTCTGCTCCTCGCTGCTCCTCTCACCCCTCTCTGCTCCTCTCAGCTCCTCTCATCTCCTCTCTGCTCCTCTCTGCTCCTCTCACCCCTCTCTGCTCCTCTCATCTCCTCTCTGCTCCTCTTACCCCTCTCTGCTCCTCTCATCTCCTCTCTGCTCCTCTCACCCCTCTCTGATCCTCTCATCTCCTCTCTGCTCTTCTCATCTCCTCTCTGCTCCTCTCTACTCCTCTCTGCTCCTCTCAGCTTCACTCTGCTCTGGTCTGAAGGGACTCCTCTCATGGAGCACTGCAACCTGTTCCATCTTAAAGCCACATGTCATAATGGCCCCCCGCCTCTCAGCGGTTCAGTGCAGAGCCCCTCACACACACACACACAGACCTGGCCTGCCAAGCACACACACACACACACACACACACACTCAGGATTAACGTGTCACATCTAGCCAGGGTCTAATATATTCAAACAGAGGATCAACTAAATAAATTATTATGCATAACCATAGGAATGGGAATACGTGTCCATATGTGTATGTATGTATGTGTGTGTGTGTGTGCGTGTGTGTGTGTGTGTGTGTGTTTAATGACACTAATGTGAATTCCTCATTCTCACTCATTCTAATGCTCCACAATAGATTGCCACAGATGGGTATGATTTTGTAGTGACATTTCTGGAGAGCATGGAGTTCTGCAGGCAGGGAGACTTTTTTTTTACACTCACAAAGATAGTAAATGAAACATTAGCATAAAACGAATAACCTAATATGATCTCACAAGCTCAATCTAACAACATTAAAAAAGCTAAATGTACCCACTGGGTATTATTAACACAAAAAATCTGTACTCAATCACAATCTGTTGTTTTTCTCTGTGCTTAAAAAAATTAATAGATGGTTGGCTGTGGTTGTAAGGGGGGAGCGGTAGGGAGAGGGGAGGGTATCAGCCATAGGGAGGGGGGGGGGGGAGGGGGTCTCAGCCATAGGGAGAGGAGAGGGGAGGGGAAATGGTCTCAGCCATAGGGAGGGGGGAGGGGAGGGGGTCTCAGGCATAGGAAGGGAGGGGAGGGGTTCTCAGCCATAGGGAGAGGAGAGGGGAGGGGAAATGGTCTCAGCCATAGGGAGGGGGGAGGGAGGGGAGGGGTTCTCAGCCATAGGGAGAGGAGAGGGGAGGGGAAATGGTCTCAGCCATAGGGAGGGGGGAGGGAGGGGTTCTCAGCCGTAGGGAGAGGGGAGGGGAGGGGAAATGGTCTCAGCCATAGGGAGGGGGGAGGGAGGGGTTCTCAGCCGTAGGGAGAGGGGAGGGGAGGGGAAATGGTCTCAGCCATAGGGAGGGGGGAGGGGAGGGGGTCTCAGGCATAGGAAGGGAGGGGAGGGGTTCTCAGCCATAGGGAGAGGGGAGGGGAGGGGAAATGGTCTCAGCCATAGGGAGGGGGGAGGGAGGGGAGGGGTTCTCAGCCGTAGGGAGAGGGGAGGGGAGGGGAAATGGTCTCAGCCATAGGGAGGGGGGAGGGGAGGGGGTCTCAGGCATAGGAAGGGAGGGGAGGGGTTCTCAGCCATAGGGAGAGGGGAGGGGAGGGGAAATGGTCTCAGCCATAGGGAGGGGGGAGGGAGGGGAGGGGTTCTCAGCCGTAGGGAGAGGGGAGGGGAGGGGAAATGGTCTCAGCCATAGGGAGGGGGGAGGGAGGGGAGGGGTTCTCAGCCGTAGGGAGAGGGGAGGGGAGGGGGAATGGTCTCAGCCATAGGGAGGGGGGGAGGGGAGGGGGTCTCAGCCGTAGGGAGGGGGGAGGGAGGGGGGGTCTCAGCCGTAGGGAGAGGGGAGGGGAGGGGAAATGGTCTCAGCCATAGGGAGGGGGGAGGGAGGGGTTCTCAGCCGTAGGGAGAGGGGAGGGGAGGGGAAATGGTCTCAGCCATAGGGAGGGGGGAGGGAGGGGTTCTCAGCCGTAGGGAGAGGGGAGGGGAGGGGAAATGGTCTCAGCCATAGGGAGGGGGGGAGGGGAGGGGAAATGGTCTCAGCCATAGGGAGGGGGGAGGGAGGGGTTCTCAGCCATAGGGAGGGGGGAGGGAGGGGAGGGGGTCTCAGCCATAGGGAGGGGGGAGGGGAGGGGGTCTCAGGCTCAGTTCCACTACACAATCAAATGCAGTCTCCTCTAATTAAGGTAACTCTGCTCTGATCTATGCCCGTCTCCCAGGGAGACGCCATGGCAACTGCAACACAACCCAGCAGACAATTAAGGGGTGGAGCTCATGGAGCTGGTGCAGGTGGTACAGACTGGTGGGTGATAATAACACAGGACTACATCATCACCACCCATGATCAACGTCACACACTAATTAATCACAATTACCAACACAGAGCAGACAATACACCACACACAGCTCCGTGCATTCACAGATGGGCAAGATGCAACAACAACAGGTAATCAGATATGGTAAGTGGTGGTAGCCTAACGGATTCACCTAACAGATTCACAGATAGCCTACACGTAATCAACATAATCAATAGCTTTGTTCACGTAATATGTGAACAAATAATAAGACAAACTCACACAGCGGAAAACATGATGTATACCCAATCAAGACAGACTAACATCCGCCCTGTACAGAGCACATCGTGTTTGTCCAAAAGGAGAAGAGTCTTACTAACTGACCACCTGCTGCTCCTCCAGTTAACTGACCACCTGCTGTTCCTCCAGTTAACTGACCACCTGCTGCTGCTCCAGTTAACTGACAACCTGATGTCCCTCCAGTTAACTGACCACCTGATGTCCCTCCAGTTAACTGACCACCTGCTGCTTCTCCAGTTAACTGACAACCTGATGTTCCTCCAATTAACTGACCACCTGATGTCCCTCCAGTTAACTGACCACCTGATGTCCCTCCAGTTAACTGACCACCTAATGTCCCTCCAGTTAACTGACCACCTGATGTCCCTCCAGTTAACTGACCACCTGATGTCCCTCCAGTTAACTGACCACCTGATGTCCCTCCAGTTAACTGACCACCTGATGTCCCTCCAGTTAACTGCCCACCTGCTGTTCCTCCAGCTCCTCCTGCAGCAGCTCATCTTCATATCAGAGGAACACACCACACCACTCTCTTCCTCTCACATCGTCGCTCTCTGCTTCCACACACACACACTCGTTTGAGGTTTGGGCATTGTGTGAAGAAAACACAGAGGCCACGGTTGTCACACGCTGCCTTTTGCACGCTGTCACACTCAGAGCTTGGTGCCAATCCTTTCCTCAGGGTCACGGGGGCCGACAGCACAGCCACGGAACTGCCACAGAACAGCCACGGAACTGCCACAGAACAGCCACGGAACTGCCACAGAACAGCCACGGAACTGCCACAGAACAGCCACGGAAAAGAAGACAGGATCAAACACTCAGGGAGATTGAAGGACTTAGAGAGGAGGACAGACACACAGGGGAGAGATTGAGGGTAAGTTAAAAAAAGAGGAGATAGAGAGAAGGAGTTGGAGAGAATAAAAAGGAGGGTGGGATCTAGTGTAGATGGTAGACGAGAGCTGAAGAAGTGAGACAGTTAGTGAAGATCACGGTACCTTCGATGATGTTTACTGAGAGTTACAGAGAATTGCACATAAAAGGGTACATATTGCAGTATGGTATATCTAGAGAGATAGCGAGAGATGCTTAGAGAGAGTTGGGTGAGGAAGACTGACAGGGCTACAGAGAGTTATAACGAGGTAGAAAGAGGAAGGATGGTATTCGGCTGAGAGTGAGACGGCACATACTGTGTCAGTGAGAGTCTGAAGTCTGAGGTTGTGAGAAAGGGAATGGTTGGACTAGCACCAGAGAACACAGACAGTCAATACCCATTACAATGACCCCTACAGTATACAGAATCAATCGATTACTCTGTCAAATACCTATTTTGCAAAAATTCCTTGTCGATGAAATGGATCACATAAGATTAAGATTTGCCTCACACATGCACGCAAAGAACACTCGGCGGTGTACACACTGACGGCTATCTTAGAAAATGAGTCCAACCATGTTGAGATGAGATACAAAGGGGAACGACAGGGGGTGAGAAGAGAGGTATTTACTGGGTGACTTTGTAGGGTTTTTCTGGGACACTTCTCCCTTTGATACCATGACATGCCATCTATAATAATAATAATAATAATATGCCATTTAGCAGACGCTTTTATCCAAAGCGACTTACAGTCATGCGTGCATACATTTTTACGTATGGGTGGTCCCGGGGATCGAACCCACTACCTTGGCGTTACAAGCGCCGTGCTCTACCAGCTGAGCTACAGAGGACCACACTGTAAACATCCTGCTTACACACCTCTACAGTGTGTTGACCCGTCTGGGCTAGACCAGCCTTGATTATAGCCTGTTTGATCTGTGACACACGAATCTACATTCTATTGGCTCATAGTGTTGGTTAAAAGTAAAACTAAACATTGCACTCTTTATCTGTCCCCGTCTCAATCGCTCGCTTTCTCTCCATCTCTCTAATTGCTCCTCAGATGTACAGTCTTTGTTATGCTGGATGTAAGATAACGAGGTGGCTGCGTAAACAAACCCATGGTGATGTTCCTTCTTTAATGATCTG